TATTTATTAAGTGTCTTTTCCCTTAAAACAAATTATGTTGTTGTAATAGTTGTACTTGTTCTATCTAATATGTTGTAGTAGTTTCCTCTATTACTTCATTCTTTAATTTTTGCTTTTATTTTTCAACTACAACTTTATTCTTTAATTGAGCAAGGCCCTTTTTTTTTTTCAATTACCTAAAAATATGAAAGTGTGATCTAAATTTAATTCATACATGAACACCACAATACATCATTTGAATCTCAACTCAACCCTTCATTCATTTATATTTTGGGCCATTTTCCTGGAATAGAATTCTGGGTACTAAACTGTTCCTAACTATTTCTTAATATACTCAACAAAAAATAAATAAATATGACTCAGCTTGGTTGGTCCACATAATCATGTTTTTTGTTAACATAATTATAGAAGGGTCAAAGTTGCAATAATTTTAATTTAACCACAGACAATCTTACAAAATCCACTAATCAAGCCACATGTTACCAACTTAGGGGACCATTCTACTGCAATGGTCTGTAACATGATTTGTGGTCCTCTTTGTGTACTCCCGGGACAAGTATTACATGGTAGTTTACTTTTATGATGATTATTCATCTAGATAGTAAGATTCATCACTTCTGTATCGTTATTTCAGGAGATAACAAGTCTCTATTAATTGACAATTAATGTTAAGTATTGTTTCAAGAGTACCTAATAATTTATTTTTGTAGGGGTTGAGGTTAGCAACAAGAAGGAAAAATGCTGGGGAAGGGACTAGGAAGGGCGAAGACTGGTAAGTGTGGGGTTGGTGGGAGCTAAGAGGGGTGACTGGAAGCTGGAGAGGTTGAGCAGGGAGGAGAAAGAACAGAGGGAAGAGAGAGAGGGATTAGGGTAAAATGAAAGGGGCAATTATGTCAATTCCTCCATGATTTTGTAATTTCTTTTTTTATTCCCATCGCTTTTGCAATTACTTCTACTTCCCATTTTTCAGCAATTTTCCCCAATTTTTTCCTGATTGTGTTGCTTATCAAACATAAGATTGTGAAAGTAAACTACAAATTAGACCAACAAAGAAACTTAGCATGTAGATTGATATCAATGTGCCTATTAACACAACTATAACTACATTTGAGTTCTAAAAGTTGGATATGATTTTATTACTGACAAATGATACCGAACTATTCGTACCTAAATTTAATCACTGTAACATTGTTGTATGCCCATGGATTCTTTTCTATAATAATTCTTACAACGGATAATAGGGGGAAAAAAAATTCTAAACTCCAAGGCTAATACGATGGTATCCTCATTTTCTCACAAATATGTTTGAGATGATTTTTTATTTTTATTTGACGTGCGGTCACAGGGATGCCCATGAAAGGCAGGGCAAACCTTGACTTAACCTTCGAAGCCTTGGCCTCTCAGGTGGCACCAGTTTAGCCTTCACCCCTTCAAAAAAAAAAAGGGCTTTGCTTGCTGTTCAAAGCCATCCAAGAGATTTCTCGCGTTACCAGAATCAAACAATTCGTGTGCTTTGGGAAAATAGGCCTCCTTGGTATTATTGTTAGAACTCCACTTGCTGAGTAATTGTTTAGCCCAAAAACGATGTTCTAAAGTGGACCTACTTATCTTAAAAGCAAATAAAAATTTTGATTTGAATACTAGACTTGGGTTGGGCCCAACCAAAATTGAGCCTCCAAGACCATGACACTCTTGGCAGTATACTTAGCCCAAAATTTCGCCCAATCTACCTCTAGACAAATCCAAATTTAGACCTACCCTTTCCAACAAAAATAAATAAAATTATAAATGAATTAAACCCTACATTTGAGCACAAAAAAGGCCGGCCTCAGTGGATATTTGTGATACACAAACTATCTTCTGCCATGGACAAAAAATCTCCAAATCAATCCATTACAAATAAAAGCCCAAGACTCATCATCCTAGATTTTCAATGGACCAAAAAGCCCGTATCAAAATAGCCCATCAGAAAAGGTTGGCTTTGGTCGATATATGTGATACACAAACTATCTTTTGCCATGGACAAAATAATCAAAATCAATCCATTTCAAATCGAAGCCAAGACACATCATCCTACATTTTCAATGGACCAGAAAGCCCATGTCAAAATGGCCCATCTGATCCATCATCGACAAAGATTTTGTATCCAATTTGAACTTTTGAATTCTAGAGGCCCACTTTTGTCTCATCAAAAACCATCAAGGAGGCCCACATCAGATACGACAAGGATTGTACAAGTAATGGACCCACATGGCATCACATTACACACACCACAAAGTGTTAAGACAGTTTGTCCTCACTTGAAAAATCCTGAGCATATATATTACAGTGTTAAGACAGTTTGTCCTCACTTGAAAAATCCTGAGCATATATATTACGGAAAGGAATGTTAAGAATTTCAAATATTTTATTAAATATTTCATATGATGTGAAAATTATATGGGACTCACATAGACTTCACACCTATATAATATATTTAGTAAAATATTTGGAGTATCTAACATCATTCTATTACAGAATATAAGTTCAAGTTGAGTCCATGGATGTACAACATATAGACCTAACATTTTGCTATTACAGAATCTAGGTTCAAGTTGAGTCCATAGATGTACAACATACAGACCGTGCCTGCAAATAGTCCAAATTAGGGGTTTATTTAACTTTTTTTTGGCCAAGCCTTTCTTCAGTTCGAAAAATAGAGTGCAGTATAGACCCGTGAGCTCACCACGACTCCTATTTTAATAATTTGATTTATTTATTTATCAATTTTATATATAAATTATTGATGAAAAAAATTAAATTGATGCAACTAACATAGCCATTTGATTGACATGTCATAAAAAGTGAGTGATAAATATGATTTTAAAAACACAATATTTATTTTGCTAGAACAAATATGATAAAATCATGTAATTATGATTATCAAATCAATTAGATGTTTTTTATAAATGATCTACGCACAAAATCTTACAAAATAAATATATTAAATTATTAGAATGCGACCCATGATAAGCTCACGAACCCGAACAAAACCCTCTAGTTCACCCAGAGAGAACCCATCTCCTTTTCTTTTTCTTTGCAAAGAAAATAACTCCATTGGTCATAAAAAAGGGAAGTAGGACAAGGACTTTTAGAAGTGGAACATAAAGAAAGACAGATACCTGAACATCAAACAGGGCACCTAGATAATTTAACAAAAAACCCAAGAAGCAGATTACTAAAACAATAACAGTAAAGATAACAATACAGTTAAAGATCATGAGAAGAGCAGACAAAAAAATAAACCCAACAGAGAGCTAAACAAGACAGACACAAAACTCACCAACCACGACCATCTGAACAAAACAAAACATTACACCATTGTCATTTTCCAGTAAACCAAGGTATATCAATGGTATAAAAAGATGTGTTACAATGATTCACAGATTAATATACGGCTACATATGTATGCATCAACTAATTCAATCACTGCTCAAAAGAGTATCCCCACCAAGTCGATTAATCCAGAAATGTTCATGCATCAGGATTAGTTTCTTGTAGATTTTATTTCTTTCTTTTGTTTTAACTCACAAAAAAACAAAAAAGCAAAACAGAACAAAAAAAAGAAAGAAAGAAATCCTTCTTAATCAACCAGAATATCTTTTCAATGTTTCCCTCAAAAGATGCATTTTTATCTTTTTGCTTTTTGTTTTTTCTTTGAACTATTTATAACAAAGATTTGAGCTTAAAATTATATGGACATTAGAGAAAGAGCTTTCGTCATTCAAAAGGGACCCAACCCAAATGTGATAATGAATATAGTACCATGTCATAGATAAAGCTAGGTGGCCACTATGCTGGAAATGAATTGGCTACACAAATGCAGATTTAAAATAAATGGAAGAGGCAAAATAATGTGCAAGGACATATAAAAGTAGACACAGGTACAGGACTAGTCCAACCAGATCTGAGCAAGTTTTATTTAACCATTGGCCCATGCAAGTATTCTCCTTTCACTTTTTTAATCATACACCTAAAGAAATTACAACTGTCAAGAAAAAGGACTTCCAATCACCACTATGTAGAGAGAGAGAGAGAGGCTCCACCAACATAGTGGGAAAAATTGGTAGTTTCTAATGAATCTCGAATGTTAAAAGACAAAGTAGAGGATGTGGGGTATCCAGTGCATGTGAGGGAAATAATGCTGGTGGGTCGGTGGCTTGGCAGCATAGGCAGCAACTATGGTAAATTAGATTTCGCTAACTTACAATGAAGATCTTAATAAGCCAGTCAAAATTGATTTTGATAGAGTAGAATGGAAAAACATGATTTATATAGTCGATCTTAAGTGGTCCGAAGAAAATAGAATTACATCAATGATAATTATTTATCAAGTGAAAAACAAATATATAAGCAATGATAAAATAAAATAAAAGCAATTGGTAGAAATAAAAAGGTTGTGGTGCGGGTTCAAATCACGGCTTGTGCACTAAGGTTCAAACTAGGGATGAAATTGAGATTGTAATTTAGTATCATATCTAACACAGAAAAATCTGTATGATGACAGATTGAAGTAAACTTGGAAAAGCATAGAAATTACTAAAGATCATACCAACTGATTATTAGTAAATGCTTCATGTCATAGTGTTTACTCATGCATATATCCGAGGTGTCTTGTATAATAAATAACCCATGTAAAAAAGTTAAAAGTGAAATATAGCTAGATAAGTCCTGACTCTTTGAGCTCAACTTAAACTCTGCTTCTTGCCCTTCGCTAATTGTTTTAGAGAAAGATTATTTATCACTGCATTTACTTCACTTTTTTATTTCACCTTCTGTATGTATTCATGCAATCAACGCCATGTGTACACGTGGGGCCATCACATTTAATAAGTGGTGGAAACTCATCTTGCCACATAGGAAATGAAATATTTTGGTGAAAATTTTTGCCACATTTGAAAAAAAAAAAAAAAACTAACAAATTATTCCAAAATTCCCCCCAAAATTTCCCTCATTTTTCTTCTTCTCTCTCCCAAAGTTACAATCTTCATCAACTTCTTCTTCTTCTACAACTACTATTTTCTACTCACTTTCCTTGTTGTTCTCTAAGATGGAAACCATCAAAGCTGGAGGAAAGAGACGCATGAAAGAAGTGGAGGGGGACGAGGAGGAAGAAGAGGAAGACGAAGATGTTGTAGAGTTAGACTCTGGGGAGGATAACAAGAAGATGAAAGGACCATCCGGCAGGAAAGGATCTAGCAGTGGAGGATCAAGGCAGCGTTGTTGTCAGGTGGACAACTGTACAACTGACATGACTTATGCCAGGTCATACCACCGCCGACACAAGGTCTGTGAATTTCATGCTAAGGCTCCAGCTGTTGATGTTGCTGGACTCCACCAACGTTTCTGCCAGCAATGCAGCAGGTTGGAAAACCCTAATATTTATAGTTTCTGTATCTCTTTAGATCTCAACTTAGTATGTGAACAAAAAAATTTGTGTTAGAGGTGGTCAATAAATGATTTCTCAGGTAGAAGTAACTATGACAAACAAAGAGACGTTAATTGAACTTACCTATTAATCCTTGAACAAATTAAGTAACAGTATGGTGATATATTGAATGAAATGTAGAAGAACTAACACATGTGGAAGTACGAAATCATTATGCATAATTCAGAGAAGTGAACTTAATATTGAAAATGAGATTGATAACTGAATGGAAACTGAATATTCTTAATATTTGTCATTCCATTAACAATTCATCTTAATTAATAAACAATAGTCATGTTTAATTCACAACACTAATAGTGAGGTATTAATAATCCTATCAAATTAGTGTGATATTCACTATCCAATTAGATTAAAAGAATAAATTATCCATTGGATTAATAATCCCACTCCCACCCCATTACTAATAATCTACAAATTTGTTGGATTAATTATCCATTGGATTAATATTCCTAAACCAAAATGTTAAAACAAACATAGGATAATTGGGTCCACGGATTAATAACCTCAATCCCATTCTCTAATCCATCCAATCAAACATGCCCAATATGTACAAGGAACTATAACCAGCATTTTCCCCAGCATGTAGCTCTTGTGCTTAAATTAATATCTCAAAAGTCTAATCTACTTGCATCAAAATTACAAGAAGATAATAAGGTTTAGGCATTTTGCAAATTCAAAACTGTGGTGGTGAATCTATTTACTTTAACATCTCTGTCACGACAGCACGTGCTTTATCAAAAGCTAAAATAGAAGCACTGTGTTCCTAAGAGACATCCAAACACAAAGCAATCATACCGATCTTCATTGTTCTATACTAATAACTATCTAGTGGTGGATTTCTGGTGATTTTTAAGATGATTTTCTCATCACTGCGAGGGTTAATCTAGCTAGTCAGACCTTGAGTGTTTTTGTAGATCTATCTTATTATAAAGATGCCAGGTTTCTTTTTTATGTATATAGTTCTTTCATTATAGTTTTTGTGTTGTGAAATTAAAAGTAACTTGTTTTTCTAGTTCTTATGATCAATAAAGTGCATTTAGGTCAGTTTATCCAACATCAACAATTCAAATGGAAGCTAAACACCAAGAAACCAGAAGAATATATAGCATTGGAACAAATCCCAACTCAGTGATCCATTTCACCGCCAATCATTCATTAACAAAACAGGGACATGTCTGTCAAGTCTCTATCTAGGACAGCGGCTCAGCAAGTGGGGAGGATGAGATCAAGGAAAGCTCTTGTCAATGGTGAGAATGACCAGATGGTTTCTCATGGTAAGAGAAGAAAATCACTGGCTTTAGTGTTGAATGGTAGCAAGGAGGGAAGAGCTCGTGTGTTGAAGAAGAAGAATTCAAAGAAGTTGATTGTATTGCTACTCATTGTTCCCAATCGCAGGTCATCTATTTCAACTGATGATATTACGAATCACACTCAACAAATACCAAAGGTGGCAACAGTGACAATTAAGATCAATAATCTTTTGGGCTCGGATTTTGGTGATAATGAAGAGGGCATCTTCCAAAAGATAGTGGAATTGGAAAAAAAAACAACCACAAATTATGGATTCAGGATGGGCAGAATTCACATTCAGGATGAACAGGTGAATTATTGTAAGGCAAGGAGGAAAAGGGTGTCTATGCTTTCCCATTAAAATGCATTCATCACCTGAAATAGAAGGGGCTTGGGGAATAGAGTGAAAAAAGGAGGGTAATTGAGAAAATGGTATTACCCTATAAGCCGGAGCTTTTATGAGTTTAAGATAGAAAAATGAATCGCTGGATGAGGGAGGTGTTACAAAGCCCGTGGCCATAGGCGAAATTTGAAGTGGTTGATGCTGATTGTCAAGCAGGTGGGCTGATTTCAAAATGGAATGAGGAAGTCTTCTCAATGGAAGAATCCATTTAACGCAAGGATTTTATTCTTTTGAGAAGAAAATATAATTCTCACTTTGACTGTGTTAATGTATACACTCCAAAAGAAACAGTGGATAGAAAAGCTGTTTGGGAGGAGTTGATACAGTCAAGAAGGAAATTTCAAATGCCCCGATGCTTGGAGGGAATTTCAATGGAGTGAGTTAGCTGAACGCAGGGGTAACTTAGGATTGATAGGGGAGTATAACAGATTTTGGAGACTTAACTAATATAATGGAAGAAAAGGATCAACCTATGTTAGGAAGAAAATACACATGAACAAACTTTTCAAGATGATGAAATGAAAATTAGGTTGTAGTGGTTTCTTTCGTCAGAAGAATGGTTTCAAGTTTTCAAAATTCAGCATAGGGGTTTGCCAACATCAGATCACTGCTCGGTAACAGTTTGTAATTAAGGAAAGAAAGTAATTGAGGACCCTAAACCTTTCGGTTTATTGATGCTTGGCTTCACCACCCTAATTTATGGTTAGTTGTAAAGGAGGAATGGGCAAAGGTTAATGTTAAAGGGTGGGCAGGTTTTATCCTGTTGAAAAAACTCCAGGTTTTATCCCTCGCAGGTTTTGTTAATGTCAAAGGATTTTGGTAAGACCAATATTGCTAGGATCCAAGGCAAACTTCATGAAATGAATCTTTCACAAGAACAAAGATGCTTAAATGAAGATGAAAAGGAAAACAGAAATCAGTTGAGATATTTTTGTTAAGATAGACAAATAGAGAAGCTGAGCTATTATGGAAACAAAAGTCAAGGCAAGGGTGGATAAAGAGTAGGGATAAACCACTAAATATTTTCATGCAGTTCCAAATAGTCAGTTTAGGAAGAATTTTGTAGGTCACAATGAGGTGGATGGCATGGACCGAGATGACCTTCAGGCAAACCAAAAAAAAAAAAAATGAAGCTGTAAATTATTTTAGCAATTTGTTTGAGTATTAGGAGAGGCCTATTTTGACTAGAGTCTAGAAGTCTGTTGAACTATTTAGACAAAGATATGGCTAGAAATCTGGAAGCTCACTTTTCTGAATATGAAGTATTAAACTTTCATTAAGGAGTGTGATGGATTTAATGTTCCGAGGCCAGACAACTTCAATTTGTCTTTTATTAAGAAGGCTTGGGGGATAATTAAGCATGATTTAGTGAATTTTCTGCAGGATTTCTATACAAACAGGACTGTCAAAAGACTCAATTCTACTTTCGTAACTTTAGTTCCAAAGATAGATGGTCCTAGTTTCAATGATTTCAGGCTTATTAGCATGGTTGAATGTGCATATAAAATCTTGTCTAAGGTTCTCTCAAATAGAATAAAAAAGATTATGCCAGTGATTGTCAGTGAGTCACAGGTCGATTTTGAGGAAAATGGGCAGATTCTTGATGGAGTTCTCATTGCAAATGAAGTGGTTGATTATTGGAATAGGGTGGTAGTGGTGGGTGCTAAGAAAAGTCAATTTTCAGAGAGCATATGAAGATGTGGATTCATTGTTGGATCCCACTTGTATGATTTCTAGAGATTGGAAGGCGATTTGTGATACATAGTTTTGTAGTTTGTTTTGTTTTCAAATTTCTTTCATAACCTTGTGACTTCTTGTCTTCTTTTGTATTTCATCTCTTTTTAGTAACATCTTTTTGTTGCTGAGAGAGAGAGAGGGAGCATATGACTGTTAATTGGAATTTATTGTCACATTTGTTAGATAAAATGGGGTTCCAGAGTAAGTGGCATAGATGGATCAAAGAGTGTATAACTTCATCATCTTTTTTATTCTTATTAATGGCTCTACAACAAAAAAATTTAAAGCCAAGAGGGGCTTGAGACAGGGTGACCCTCTACCACTGTTCTTATTCCATGTGGTGGTTGCAGGCTTGAATGTGATGTTTGAAAGAGCAAGGAACATCGGTCTCATAAAAGGGGTTTGTTTCGAACCAGGGAATGTAGTGATTTCCCATTGGAAATTTAAAAACAACAACAATAGTCTTCTATAATGAGGATTTGGATGAGTTGGTGAATATTAAAAGGATTTTAAGTGTTTAAACTGTTATCAAGGCATAAGATCATTTTCATGAAAAGTCAGGTATGTGGGATGGAAGTTCACGAGGCTTTCATGGAAATAGCAATCCTTTTGTTCAAATGCAAAGAAGGCTCACTCCCAGTTACTTATCTTGGGATGGCACCAGGAGCCAACCCAAGGAAGATTATGACATTACAATCTGTTATTGACAAGTGTAAAAAGAAATTGGCCTTCTGGAAGAGGAAATTTTTTATTTATTGGATGGAGGTTGACACTCATTGAGGCATCACTTTCAAACCTACCAATGTATTATATGTCTTTGTTTAAGATGCCAAAAGAGGTTGCAAAGCAATTAAAAAAGACTTCAAAGACAGTTTTTATGGAGTGACAGTGAGGAGAAGAGGAGGCTTCATCCAGTCAAATGGAGTATTTTGATTTTGGATATATATATATATATATATTATATATATATAAAAAAAAAAAAAAAAGAGGGCTGGGTATTCATAGATTGATTTGGAAGAATGTGAGTTTGCTTTCCAAATGGTGGTGGAGGTTTGCTAAACAGTAATGGAAGAAAAGTATGGATATTATGTTGATTGTTGGCTTCCATTTGTTCCAATTCATGCCAAGATGTGTAAGACAAGGTCTAACATTGTGTCACTTCAGGATAGTCTCTGTTTTTGCTGTATTATATTCAAAAAGGGGTTTAGCTATTAGGGTAGGTTCAGAAACTCAAACGAAATTTCAGCATGATGTTTCGATGGGGGATAAACCATTGAAGAGAAATTCCAAAGGCTATACTCATTATCCATTTAAAAAGATTATCGTATCAGGGGATTGTAAAGTGTTTCAGGAGGGGTTGTATGTGTGGGAAGAAAAGTTGCTTGACAGTCTGCCAACAAAATTAGAAAACTTTCAGCACCAGAATCAGGTTGATGATTCTATGTACTGGAAATGGGACAATAAGGCTGTGTTTGGATCATTTTCACCCACCTTTTCCCTTTCCCTTTCCCTTTCCCTTTCCAAATCCCTACCCAAATCCATGATCCAACCACAACAAACTAACGGAATTTTCAGTTTAAAAATATGTTATAGCCAATGCCAGATGAAGCTTGATGAGTCTGTACTCTTTGTGCCATCTTTGTCTCTCATATGGAAGAATTTGTGTCCTCATCAAATTACAATTTTCTGCTGACAGACTGTTCAGAGTAGAATTGCGACTTGTGATATGCTTTTGAAACGAACGATTATTTCAATTAGTGGACAGATGAGACAGCTGATCATGTCTTACTTCAGTGTGATTTTGCATGGAAAGTATGGAATGGATGCTTACAACGGTCAAAGAATCAATGGGTTTTGTACTTCATCTTTAGAATTGTTGATGATATGGCGGTTTGATAATGCCTATAGGGATTTGGAAAGAGGAATTTGGAAGTCTATTTTCTTTGCTGGTTTATGGTCCTTATGGAAGGCTCGTAATGATGTAGTTTCACAATTCGCATGATTTCGTGGAACTGATCAAGATTAGAACTGCTTTCTGGAGCAAGGTATGCTGCAATATCTCAGAATACTCAGTTAATGGTTACATTGGTTAAGTTTCCAATTATCCCAATGAGCCAACAATACATATCAAGCTATCCAACATAATTGAGATGTACAGAGGGCATTAGAAATCTAAATTATCAGAATAGAAGGAAAAGGAGTCTCAAAGAAGAATTTTTGGGCACAAAGGCTGACCTTGCGTGGAAGTAACTGGAAACGGGATATCAAATTATGAACTTAGTCAATAACAGGCTATATGAGGGTTCTTGTAGGAGCTATTTGACGATTCTTATGATTTCATGAATTGTCTGATTTCTATCAGGTTTCGGTAACAATCAGTTGTTATGTTCGAAAACAGGATATTCTGCTCCAACCGCTTAGGTTGCCTTTCACTCTTTTAATCAGAAGATGTTTTTCATAAGGCTCTATGGCCTTATCTGGAAATGCCAGAAATGCGGATTTGTTCTGAAATATGGAGGGTACTCGCAGTTGTTTCCCTAGGAATACAAGGGAGGTGTTTACCTTTTACAGGTGACTTCGCTCTATTAGGAGTCTTTGCAGCATGCGATATTTGTTTGGGCATTTGGCTCAGTTTCAGTATGGGATTATAGGGACATTAAAAATCATTTTTAGATGGGGGTCATTTTGTCTTGTATTGCTTTTGGTGTTATCTTTAAGTTGGCTTCTTGTCACTTTTTTCTTTCTAAAAATTGTCTCTCTTTCAATCATCTTCTGCAGGTTCCATGAGCTATCGGAGTTCGATGAAACAAAAAAGAGTTGTCGCAGGCGTTTGGCTGGACATAATGAGCGTCGCCGCAAAAGCTCATATGAGTCTTATGGAGAAGGATCAGGCTGAAAAGGGAACAGCCCTTTCAACCATCCTTGCTACCATGCTCTCTATCTCCTGTCAATCATCCAATTTCTTTACGAAGAAATTGTCACCTATCTATTATGTGTGCTCCCAATCTTCTGTCAATCCTAGAGTTCTAGGAATCCAGGTTGTTGTTGTTTAATTATATGAATGTAAGTGTTGTGCGTGTTTGAAACAAAATAGCCTAACGGCACTGTAGATTTGGTTCGATGGATAGTGATTATCCTGAACCACGCTATCCTCTGCATAATTGTACTCTCTAGTAAGACTTGGTTTCTATAATACTTATTTTACTACTTCTTATTGTGTCTTTCTTTCCTCTATTCATGCTTATTTTGAGCCTCAATATTATACAGAATTATAAATTGATCCCGATTGGATTAATGCAATGCAAGACGAGTTGACTGCTCTCAAAAAAACTCGTACATGGGAGTTAGTTCCATTGCCTACAGGTAAGAACCTTATTGTGTGTACCATCCATTTCAGTACTACTTTCTGTTGGTATGATTGAAGGTATAGATTTACTCTGTGGGCAGCTGGCCCTTTAGGATTATTCTTAGTCATAATGCATCTTCATTTCTAAATGATCAATTACAAATACTATATGATTCAATTTCATATTTAAGGTCAACACACCAAACCCTGACCTAGAATTTAACCTCACATTAACCTTTCCAAGTCAGCCATCATTTGGAAACTCATTGATAACAACAGATTGGTTGAGGCAATACACACATTCATCTTATGTGAAGTGTTAAAACAAGCACACATCACATCTTGTGACCTAAGATGTCACCTTGTGGGTAATTCGGCTTTGAAGGAGTTGAGTTGTGTTGTTTCTCTTGTTTTTGAAAGAAAGATAAGAAAGTTGGCTTGCCACATGCCTTGAATTTCCATTTTCTTTTTACATGCTTTAAATTTCACGCTATATTTAAAAGAACAAAACCAAGATTAATTATTTATGCTCTTCAATAATTAATCAATATACTTGAGAGATATGTACTACTATTTACTCACTATAATATCTTTCAAATCAAATCATTAATTTTGCACTTTTAAGTTGTTTTTTGGTGTCTAGAATGTTGTGGGTCGCTTCCATCTTAAAATCTTTTATGTTGGCAATGTTAACTGCTAACATCTAATCAATTTATAACATTCTCCCAACGTATTTAGGTGGCTTTTTTGCCTGACTAATTTTTTTTAATTCAAAGTTAAACAACAAGTGTACGGACAAACTTATTTCCCATTCTACATTAAAGCCTGATTAATAATCTGTAGAAATTTAATGTATAAAGAGAAATAGAGAATTGTATTATTGATTGATATAATGTTGTAGTTTTTTTAACATAATCAAATTTTTGTTATAAAATTTTTTTTTTTTAAATTAAAAAAAAAAAACATTTTTTTTAACTTGAATGCAAACACTTGGCAAAAATTGTACTAATTATTTAATTTTAAATTTTAAAATAATAATAATGAGCTCAAAAATCCTATTTAGGCACAATTTACTAGTAAGAAGCAAAAAATATGTTTTGGAAGCATCTTTGCTCCATATTCATAATTATATGCATATGACTCACATAAGCATAATGCACTTCCCTAATAAAATTTAATCGAAGGACCCGAAAATGTCAACAAAAGCTTGAGAGAGAGAGAGAGAGAGAGAGAGAGATACCAGAAATCTTCTGCAAGCCCTTAAAGCCATTGAAGCTCTTTCTAATCAGTGTTTAGACCTTCTGTCAAGTTGAGTCAAGATGAATGACAGTAAAGCACAAAGCACTGTGCCTATGAGAAGATTGCCTCCGGCAGGTTTGCTGCATCACATTTTTGAATTTCCTGTTATATGTTAAAGAACAACAAAATGCAAGAACTTCTCTCATAAAATTTAATCAAAAGACATGAAAATATTGGATGCAAATTTTACTGCTTTCTGTTGAAGTTAAATTATGCAAGGCTAGTAGGCAGATAAATGAGCCATGGAAACAACCAGCAGTGTGTCAAGATATCAAAACAAGCATTAGTGTAAGAATGATGAATAAAAACAAAAGGAAACAAAATCTTACAGAGAGAGACACAGAGATTATTGCACTCATCGGCATGTTATTTGGCAAGAGGACACGTGTCAACAAGAAGGTCTGATTAAACTTGTCTCAATTGTCCAAATGAACCACATGTTCACATATAAGACTGGACAAAAAAATCAAGGTTTTAGACATCCCATCCAAATAAACCATTCTTGGCACCACAGTCATATCCATTGTATATGATCATCTTTTTATCCCCTCGCTATGTGCATACTATGCACCAGTTATGAATGGAAATTGTTCGAAAATTAGATCATATATAAAAAATACTCTTCTAGAAATGATGTGGCAACATTATCTTTTAAACGAAAAAGAGCAGTAGTTAGCTAAATAAGCCACATTGTTTTGTTTGTGCAGTATTACTATTCAAAAATTCAACACTTGTTGAAGGACAAAATATTAACACCAGCAATTGTCTTCATGTAATCCCATAGTGGAGTAGGTGAAGGTAAAGATGGGAAATTCTAACAAACATTATCTTTTAAACGAAAAAGAGCAGTAGTTAGCTAAATAAGCCACATTGTTTTGTTTGTGCAGTATTACTATTCAAAAATTCAACACTTGTTGAAGGACAAAATATTAACACCAGCAATTGTCTTCATGTAATCCCATTGAGTTGTGATCACATTAAATAATATACAATTGTCTCTCACCTCTCAAACACAAATATTTCATAGCCAAACGCAAGCTTGAACTTTTGCTTTTTCAACTCAGGATTCAAACTACGAAAAAAAAAAGGTGTTGGCACAGTTGTCCATGACGGCAAATGCAGATTGAATACCTCAAACGTAGGGTTAGTTGCATTGCAAGGTAAGTTAACAGAATTCACATCCCAAAGAACATAAATTTCTACCATCAACAGCAACTACACTAGGGGATTATACTCTCCAGCAAGCACAACTGAAGGACCTTTAACTGACTACAAATTGATAGTGTCATATATATATATATACATCTGAAGGTAGTGGCCTAGGCGTACAACAAACAACATAGGTCTACTACACACTAGAAACAGATTTTTCTACATTCATCTCCTTCAGCAATAATAGTTATCATAATACTCCAGTGATGGCCTGAATTATTTGCCATTGTTAAGCTATTGGGACTTGAAAGAGAAAATAGAATTCTTCAATATAAGAAGTTGAAGCAACCTAGCAAAAGATTGAAGCCTAGAACCCACCCTTGTACAGATATTATGCATAAGTTGCCGTCTCTTCACTTAGCAAATAATATGGTTAGGAAGAAATTGAAGCAATGACCAAACAAATGTACAAGGAACAAGCCCTGCTGGCAATCCCAACATGAGTGATCATCATCAAGCATAAAGATTATAGTTTGTTTCTTCTGGTACAAACTTTTCCAGCATTAAATGAACTGGAGATGTGAATCAAATACACATGAACTGAATCTATGCCAAAATTCAACAAACTTAAAAAAAATGCTTAAGCAAATCATTAACTAGACAATAACAAATGACAATTCTTCAATCATTCTTAGGGTGGGGAAAAAGCATACAAGAAAATGGGCCCTAGAAACAAGAGATTGAAAAAACTTAAAAAATTTTGCAAATTTGGTCAGCTCCACCCATGATGGATAAAAAATAGACCAGGGTCACTGTCTGTTTCACAAGAATCATTCCAAGCCTTTTCTCAGATAAGTAATATCGCAGTCAGGCCATGTCAAAAGAATTATGATGGTCGTTGCAGACAGCCACCAGTACATGCACCAGCAGGGATGACAAGAAATGATTGGCAGTTCTAGGTAGTAGAAAACTGAACCATCTTTAATCACTCTTGCACAAGTTTCACAGCTAACTCCCAGATGACAATTGCAACTGCATTAGCAGGAATTGCCCTCACAATTGTTGGACCTAAAACCTGTATAGCATCCTTTAAGTCCTGACCTCCTGTAAATCGGGCATACAGGATCCAATAAGTGTAAGTTTAGAGAAGAGAAATAGATAGGGAATGAGTGAGACCTCATCCCCTTTTATATTAAGAATAAAACATAATTACAGGAGTACTATAAGGTATGAATTATGGATTAGCTCATTACAGCCCATTACATCAATCAAGGAATAACAAATCAAAATAAAATATGTGAATATAATTTCCTTATTCTAACACTCCCCCTCAAGCTAGTACGAAGATATCTCTCATGCCCAGTGTAGCTCGACTCTTCATGCTCCCTTTCGAAAGACGAATAAGCCCTACAACATCGGACTCCCATGGTTCTGAATCTGATCTCACAAGTGTAATGTGAAATAGATAAACACCAAAGAGTCTAAATCCAGCAAATATTTTGGAAAATCGATTTTGAATCAACTTGCCAAAAATGGATTGCTTTGCCAGATACAGAGTCGCCACCTAAATATTTTTGGAAAATTTAGGAAACCCATAACTCGTGCCAAAGGCCACGTGTTCGTCATCACCAAGATTGTCTCGGCTCGAAAACTTAGGTACGAGAGGGGAAGGTCATGAATTGAGCACCTCCGCTCGCCCGATCAAAGATCGGCCTCTACTAATCATGATGTGAATCTTATTTACATTATATGCTCTTGTTCCGATTATTAGGCTAGCATTATTATGTGATGCGCACACACACAAATATAAACTAATTTGCAAGAATTGGAACACTTGATTCATGTTTGTTTTTTTAAAAGAGTTTCGAATATGTAGCACTTGAAAAAGTGATCGCATATGAACATTACTCAAATTATGTCAATTCAAGCAATTAGCCTTCATCCACAGGTATTCAAACAGTTTATCATTTAAGCAATTAGCCTCATGGCAAACATGCTAGACATGGCAACAATTACATTCGTGCAATATGCTAAAGCACAAAAGAGCTCACCTAGTACTCCAAGCCAAAAAGATGAAAGAGTTAGGAAAAATGCGTGATCCTAACTATGCAATGTGACTAATGCAACACATGCAATATGCAATTACTAGGCTCGGCTACTGATATGGCATATGAATTAATTTGATAGCATGCGGTCTAAGCACGTATTCAAAGAAGTGTTTAATTAACAATGCAAGTTAGAATGATGTGCTGAGCCCAATGCATGCAAGACAATGGGTGCAAGGAATGAGAGATGCAAAACGAAACATGATGCCCTAAACTAACCATCGTAAGCAGTTAAATAAAAGAAAGAAAGATGTGGGATTGGAAGACATACACATTATTATAAGTTTGCGCCCTCACGCAAGAAGGTCCAAATAAACTA